CTAACTAACTAACTAACTAACTAACTAACTAACTAACTAACTAACTAACTAACTACTAACTACTACTAACTAACTAACTAACTACTAACTAACTAACTAACTAACTAACTAACTAACTAACTAACTAACTAACTAACTAACTAACTAACTAACTAACTAACTAACTAACTAACTAACTAACTAACTACTAACTAACTAACTAACTAACTAACTAACTAACTAACTACTAACTAACTAACTAACTAACTAACTAACTAACTAACTAACTAACTAACTAACTAACTAACTAACTAACTAACTAACTAACTAACTAACTAACTAACTAACTAACTAACTAACTACTAACTAACTAACTAACTAACTAACTAACTAACTAACTACTAACTAACTAACTAACTACTAACTAACTAACTAACTAACTAACTAACTAACTAACTAACTAACTAACTAACTAACTAACTAACTAACTACTACTAACTAACTAACTAACTACTAACTAACTACTAACTAACTAACTAACTAACTAACTAACTAACTAACTAACTAACTAACTAACTAACTAACTAACTAATAACTACTACTAACTACTAACTACTACTAACTAACTAACTAACTAACGAAGAACAAACGAAAGAACTAACGAACTAACGAACGAACTAACTAACTAACTAACGAACGAACGAACGAACGAACGAACAACGAACTAACAACTAACTAACTAACAACTAACTAACTAACTAACTAACTAACTAACTAACTAACTAACTAACTAACTAAACTAACTAACTAACTAACTAACTAACTAACTAACTAACTAACTAACTAACTAACTGTAGAAAATGTATAGACATTTCTTTACAATTTACTTTATAGAACTTTTTTGAAAAGTTTTCTTCACAGAACATTTTTGTAACGTTTTTCATCGAACATTTTTGAAAAGTTTCCTTATTGAAATTTTTTGAAAAGTTTTCTTTTTTAGAGCATTTTTGAAAAGTTTATTTATTGAAATTTTTTGAAAAGTTTTCTTTACAGAACATTTTTGAAAAGTTTTCTTTGTAGACCATGTTTGAAAAGTTTTCTTTGCAGAACATTTTCGAAATAACATTTTTGGTTATTGAATATTTTTCCACATTATATAGACAACCTTAGTTGTATTAGTTAGTGTTCTAGTCTATTAGACTAGAGGGTCGTGTTTTCAATTCCCACTAGAGACACTTGCAAAGTAGCATATATCAGGCAAGATAAAGGCCTAGTTGTACTTCTTCTGATTTGAACTACATCCTGCTTTTACACCGTATTTAACTTTTTGCTAATTTTTATCACATTAGGCATCAATAAAGAATATTTTTAGACAATGTCTTACTATAATTCCATCATTGACGTAGTTATTATAGTCAACATAAAAACTTCTTTCAAGGTTAAGAGGATTAATTTATTAAAATAATGAATTGAGTGATAGAATGACTTGTAAAAAAATTATCAATTAAATTTGAAATTACTATTTATAAACCGATTAATAACGAAATAAGAATAGTGTGTTTTAATAAGAAATTGAACTAAAATTTCAAAAAAACCTTACACTTATAGAAAAAATGGGAATAAAAACAAAATAGGATTATGTAATTTAAAATTTTTGTGTGTAGGTTATTATTTTCTTGTACAATTATTTAGTTTAAAATAATTGAAATTATTACCAAGCAATGACATTGAAATTTTAAATAATTATATGGTAATGCATACCAGCTGCTGTATTAAGTTAAATAATTATGAATGAATATGAATATTTTGTTTGTTTGACGGCTTAATAATAGTAATAACTTACCATAAAATAATGGAAACAATGAAAAAACAATCAAAATAATTCGCTATTTATAAGAAAAAAATCTGCAAAAGAAAGAGAAAAAAAGAGAATTTATGGTTAAGATTAAAAAAATTACATTTAGAGTAAATAAATATATCAGTTTGGTTATAAAAAAAATTAACATAAATGTTTATTGGTTTATAATTGTTGGTAATTTGTATTAATTTTTTTAAATTTTTGTTTAAATTTTTCAATAACAAAGGTTTAAATTATTTACATATTTTTAAAAGAAATTTAATTTTGGAACAAAAGAAATTCCAATATTATTTGCATTTATGACAAATATTTGTATAAAATTAGACAGAAATATTATAGTGAAAACAAACATCTGGTATATTTTGTCTGTAGGCTTTATGTGAATTAATATATGGTTTAGTAGGTCTTGTAAAAATAGTTTAAATTAAAATTTGCATTCTCCTCTTAATATATAAATTATCTTTTTGAAACATACATATGTTTCAAAATTCCAACTCATTCAAATATTTATGTAGTATTTTGCACAACCAACTAATGCAATATTTGTAAAACTAATGTGTTTATTGTTTGTTCATTTATTTCTTTTTTTTTTTCTCCACATTTTTATCAAGACCCTATATAGAAACATTGAAAATTTCTGCTCTACTTAATTACAATTCATCACCATGTCAGAGCCCACAAAACAAAAGAAAAAACATCATTAACAGCAAACAACTAATAAATAATTAACAGCAACAGACATTAAACAACCTAAAGTTGCAGCCAACTACAACATCAACAAATATTTAGCAAATCAACATCTCAATGATACAACAATTTAATGGTGAAAAATTTAAAAAAAAAACAATTTTTTTTTTCAAAAAGGCATCCAACTTACAAATAAACTTAAATTCAAATTGCAACACCTTTGCTGCCACTTTATTGCAATGTGTTGTTAGTGCAAAATAGTGTAATGGCAAAGTCCTCTAAAACTAACACCCACTAACCGAATAAATAATTAAGATATTCAACTTAGAGTCTGACAGAGGTTTTACAACAAATTGTAAATAATGAACCATAAATTAAGGTGCAACTAAGCGTTGCAATCATTAGAAATTATAATCATTTGTATGATAGCAATGAGGCAAACATGTTTAAAGAAAAAAAAGTTAAGGTTCAAGTTGGGAATTCGTAAAATAATCAGATTGGTTTTAAGGAGTTTTTCATACTAAAATCGAAGATCTGATCAAAATCCGAAAAGAAAATCATGTTTTCTTATTCAGTTCACTTCTAGTTCAGTTTTAAATCAGTTCCAGTTCAATTCTAGTTCAGTTCTAGTTCAGTTCTTGTTCAGTTCTAGTTCAGTTCTAGTTCAGTTCTAGTTCAGTTCTAGTTCAGTTCTAGTTCAGTTCTAGTTCAGTTCTAGTTCAGTTCTAGTTCAGTTCTAGTTCAGTTCTAGTTCAGTTCTAGTTCAGTTCTAGTTCAGTTCTAGTTCAGTTCTAGTTCAGTTCTAGTTCAGTTCTAGTACAGTTCTAGTCAGTTCTAGTTCAGTTCTAGTTCAGTTCTAGTTCAGTTCTAGTTCAGTTCTAGTTCAGTTCTAGTTCAGTTCTAGTTCAGTTCTAGTTCAGTTCTAGTTCAGTTCTAGTTCAGTTCTAGTTCAGTTTCTAGTTCAGTTCTAGTTCAGTTCTAGTTCAGTTCTAGTTCAGTTCTAGTTCAGTTCTAGTTCAGTTCTAGTTCAGTTCTAGTTCAGTTCTAGTTCAGTTCTAGTTCAGTTCTAGTTCAGTTCTAGTTCAGTTTCTAGTTCAGTTTAGTTCAGTTCTAGGTTCAGTTCTAGTTCAGTTCTTAGTTCAGTTCTAGTTCAGTTCTAGTTCTGTTCAGTTCTAGTTAGTTCTAGTTCAGTTCTAGTCAGTTCTAGTTCGTTCTAGTTCAGTTCTAGTTCAGTTCTAGTTCAGTTCTAGTTCAGTTCTAGTTCAGTTCTAGTTCAGTTCTAGTGTTCAGTTCAGTTTAGTTCAGTTCTAGTTCAGTTCTAGTTCAGTTCTAGTTCAGTTCTAGTTCAGTTCTAGTTCAGTTCTAGTTCAGTTCTAGTTCAGTTCTAGTTCAGTTCTAGTTCAGTTCTAGTTCAGTTCTAGTTCAGTTCTAGTTCAGTTCTAGTTCAGTTCTAGTTCAGTTCTCTAGTTCAGTTCTAGTTCAGTTCTAGTTCAGTTCTAGTTCAGTTCTAGTTCAGTTCTAGTTCAGTTCTAGTTCAGTTCTAGTTCAGTTCTAGTTCAGTTCTAGTTCAGTTCTAGTTCAGTTCTAGTTCAGTTCTAGTTCAGTTCTAGTTCAGTTCTAGTTCAGTTCTAGTTCAGTTCTAGTTCAGTTCTAGTTCAGTTCTAGTTCAGTTCTAGTTCAGTTCTAGTTCAGTTCTAGTTCAGTTCTAGTTCAGTTCTAGTTCAGTTCTAGTTCAGTTCTAGTTCAGTTCTAGTTAGTTCTAGTTCAGTTCTAGTTCAGTTCTAGTTCAGTTCTAGTTCAGTTCTAGTTCAGTTCTAGTTCAGTTCTAGTTCAGTTCTAGTTCAGTTCTAGTTCAGTTCTAGTTCAGTTCTAGTTCAGTTCTAGTTCAGTTTCTAGTTCAGTTCTAGTTCAGTTCTAGTCTAGTTCAGTTCTAGTTCAGTTCTAGTTCAGTTCTAGTTCAGTTCTAGTTCAGTTCTAGTTCAGTTCTAGTTCAGTTCTAGTTCAGTTCTAGTTCAGTTCTAGTTCAGTTCTAGTTCAGTTCTAGTTCAGTTCTAGTTCAGTTCTAGTTCAGTTCTAGTTCAGTTCTAGTTCAGTTCTAGTTCAGTTCTAGTTCAGTTCTAGTTCAGTTCTAGTTCAGTTCTAGTTCAGTTCTAGTTCAGTTCTAGTTCAGTTCTAGTTCAGTTCTAGTTCAGTTCTAGTTCAGTTCTAGTTCAGTTCTATTTTGTTATAGTATTTAATTATAATAAAAGCCTCAACGTTTTGTTTTAAATGAAGTAGTTTTTCTCTTTTATGAAGTAGTAATATATAAATAACTATAATTTTTTTATTAATTTATTAAATATATTCCAACCTATGTATTTGCTTAATAAGCTCTTCAATCCCTGATAATTGCACTTAATTTTAATACTCAAATCAAAACCTATAGAATATAAAACAGCCATACATATCCTTAGCGATTGACAGTATTCCACGCACAATGAAGTTATTAACATATCCTGCTATAACAGTAAGCTTAAAGCTTTCGATACTACTGATAAACTTTTCAAGTTTACAGGCGGAAGTGTATTCGGCAAAAGAAGTTTTACACTTATTTAATAAAGCGTATAAGTTTGAATTAAATATTTTTGTTAAAATTATTTCCAAGGATAATGAAAAAGAATACGAGGAAATGCTACGAGCCAATGAAACTCCCAAAATGGTTATTAATGAAATGGAAACAAATATCACAGCAATACGTGAGTTTTTAAATGGACACTCTTTAACAGTTGTTTATGTAAACAACAAAAATTTAAAAGACATTTTTAAGAAAATGGATAAGTTGCTGTGGAAGCTGCATTTGTCTCATATATTTATAATATGGAATTCAAACCAAGATAAAATTATAGAACTATACACAATTTTTCAAGAATGCTGGCAGAAGGGTTTTATCAATGTAATACTTTGGCATCGAAGTGAGTTGTACACCTATAACCCCTTTCCCCAGATTCGGGTATTGAAATTGTCAAATTTCTCTTTGTATGGACAAAGAACTTATCTGAGCAATTTTCAACATTATGCCTGGATTCTACCTTTCACCCAGTATGCTCCACGTTTATTTAGCTACACTGATCGTTGGGGTAATTTGGTGCGCAGTGGTACTTTTTATAAAATCGTGGAACTATTTATACTACACCACAATGGTACTCTAAATATTAAAGAATTTGACATGTGGTCCGGAAATATAACCCAATCACAAGTTTTGGAAATGCTGTTGAAAATTGGTTTTCATTTCACGGCAAATGTCTTGTTTTATGATGATTCTTATTCAGCCAGTGATTCATTATGGATAATTTATCGTAACTTAATAGTACCCACTGCCCAGGAGATCGATAAAAGTCTTTATATAACTAAATCATTTAGTGTAGGCGTGTGGTTAATAATACATTTAATATGTGTATTAATATTCTGTTTAATTTACTATGATAATAAGAGCCATAATAAAGAATGCCATCATAGTTCTTTGCTGCAAACTCTGGCCATTGTTAATGGTTTGCCTTATCGTGTTTTCCGTAATGACAATAAATTCTTTAATTTCCTGATAGTGTTGGTATATATGTCGTCCACTTTGCTGTTGGTCGGTTTTTATAATTCAAATCTATCCAGCTTATTAACAACCAAACAATATGAACCTGAGTTAAGAGCCTTAGAAGATGTTGGCAAAACAAATCTCCATATTTATGAATATACTGTGGATGTTCAATATTATAAATTCTTGGATTTACCAAGCATCATACATCGACGTTTGGACTGGGGCAATAATACCTATATGTTTGAAAATCGCAAAAATTTAAATGTACATGCGAATATATTTTGTGCCTTCGATGATGTCTCAAATTACTATTTGCTTCAGCAGCGCTTCTTAAAGCAGCCTAAAGCCAAAATATTGGATGAAGCTTTGTATGGTCATACATTATATATAACGGTATCACACCGTTTACCCGTATTGGATCATTTTAATCGATATTTGCTGTATATCAAGGAGAGCGGTATCGTTTATAAACTAATAGCGGATAGTCATTGGGATGGCATTGTAAGTGGTGATATTCAGTTTTTCAGGGATGAAGATCCAAGCACTTCTGCTACTTTGGAACATTTTCTATATGCTTTTGTTATTTTACTAGTTGGTTTGACTTTGGCTTTAGTGTGTTTTTTGGTGGAAAAGTTAAGAAAATAAAGAATTAATGATTGAATAATAAATTCATTCATCTACTTTTATAAAAAAAATCTGGTTGATGTTTCCTTTTTGAAGAAAATTGAAAATAAAAAGTTGCTCTATAACAGAGCTAGCTTTTTCTTTTTATAGAAAATTGCTGTGTAACAAAGCAACTTTTCCAATATAAAATTTATGTGTAAAAAAGCAACTTTTGCTTTTGCAAATTGCTGTGTAACAAAAGAATTTTTCATATAAAAACAGCTTTGTAACGGAGCAACCTTTGCTATAGAAAATTGATGTGTAACAGAGCAACTTTTCCTGTAGGAAAATTGCTGTGTAATGAAGCAACTTTTGACATTGAAAAATGCTGTGGAACAGTACAATTTTTCCTGTAGAAAATTGCTGTGTAACAGAGCAACTTTTCCTGTAGAAAATTTCTCTGTAACACAGCAATTTTCCTACAGAAAATTTCTCAGTTCAGTTCTAGTTCAGTTCAGTTCTAGTTCAGTTCTAGTTCAGTTCTAGTTCAGTTTCTAGTTCAGTTCTAGTTCAGTTCTAGTTCAGTTCTAGTTCAGTTCTAGTTCAGTTCTAGTTCTAGTCAGTTCTAGTTCAGTTCTAGTTCAGTTCTAGTTCATTTCTAGTTCATTTCTAGTTCAGTTCTAGTTCAGTTCTAGTTCAGTTCTAGTTCAGTTCTAGTTCAGTTCTAGTTCAGTTCTAGTTCAGTTCTAGTTCAGTTCTAGTTCAGTTCTAGTTCAGTTCTAGTTCAGTTCTAGTTCAGTTCTAGTCATTCTAGTTCATTCTAGTTCAGTTCTAGTTCAGTTCTAGTTCAGTTCTAGTTCAGTTCTAGTTCAGTTCTAGTTCAGTTTCTAGTTCAGTTCTAGTTCAGTTCTAGTCAGTTCTAGTTCAGTTCTAGTTCAGTTCTAGTTCAGTTCTAGTTCAGTTCTAGTCAGTAGTTCAGTTCTAGTTTCAGTTCTAGTTCAGTTCTAGTTCAGTTCTAGTTCAGTTCTAGTTCAGTTCTAGTTCAGTTCTAGTTCAGTTCTAGTTCAGTTCTAGTTCAGTTCTAGTTCAGTTCTAGTTCAGTTCTAGTTCAGTCTAGTTCAGTTCTAGTCAGTTCTAGTTCAGTTCTAGTTCAGTTCTAGTTCAGTTCTAGTTCAGTTCTAGTTCAGTTTCTAGTTCAGTTCTAGTTCAGTTCTAGTTCAGTTCTAGTTCAGTTCAGTTCTAGTTCAGTTCTAGTTCAGTTCTAGTTCAGTTCTAGTTCAGTTCTAGTTCAGTTCTAGTTCAGTTCTAGTTCAGTTCTAGTTCAGTTCTAGTTCAGTTCTAGTTCAGTTCTAGTTCAGTTCTAGTTCAGTTCTAGTTCAGTTCTAGTTCAGTTCTAGTTCAGTTCTAGTTCAGTTCTAGTTCAGTTCTAGTTCAGTTCTAGTTCAGTTCTAGTTCAGTTCTAGTTCAGTTCTAGTTCAGTTCTAGTTCAGTTCTAGTTCAGTTCTAGTTCAGTTCTAGTTCAGTTCTAGTTCAGTTCTAGTTCAGTTCTAGTTCAGTTCTAGTTCAGTTCTAGTTCAGTTCTAGTTCAGTTCTAGTTCAGTTCTAGTTCAGTTCTAGTTCAGTTCTAGTCAGTTCTAGTTCAGTTCGTTCAGTTCTAGTTCAGTTCTAGTTCAGTTCTAGTTCAGTTCTAGTTCAGTCTAGTTCATCAGTTCTAGTTCAGTTCTAGTTCAGTTCTAGTTCAGTTCTAGTTCAGTTCTAGTTCAGTTCTAGTTCAGTTCTAGTTCAGTTCTAGTTCAGTTCTAGTTCAGTTCTAGTTCAGTTCTAGTTCAGTTCTAGTTCAGTTCTAGTCAGTTCTAGTTCAGTTCTAGTTCAGTTCTAGTTCAGTTCTAGTTCAGTTCTAGTTCAGTTCTAGTTCAGTTCTAGTTCAGTTCTAGTTCAGTTCTAGTTCAGTTCTGTCAGTTCCAGTTCAGTTCTAGTCAGTTCTAGTTCAGTTCTAGTTCAGTTCTAGTTCAGTTCTAGTTCAGTTCTAGTTCAGTTCTAGTTCAGGTTCTAGTTCAGTTCTAGTCCAGTTCTAGTTCAGTTCTAGTTCAGTTCAGTGTAACAGAGCATCTTTTCCAATAGAAAATTTCTCTGTAACAGAACAATGTTTCCTATAGAAAATTTCTCTTTAACAGAGCAATGTTTTCCTATAGAAAATTGCACTGTAACGATCAACTTTTCCTATAGAAAATTATTCGGTAGCAGAGAAAAAAGTTAACTAAGTTTTTTATGGAATATAATCTGATAATAGTAGAGACTAAAGTCTGACTTTAGTAGACTATAGTATTACTATATTAGAGGCTATAGTCTAACTATATTAAATACTACAACTTTCTGACTTTAGTAGATACTATAATCTAACAATGGCAAAGACCGTAGTCCAACAATAGGATAGTCTAACTATAGTAGTGACTCTAGTCTTAGTTGTGACTATAGTTTGCCTAGTTTGTAGATTAAAGCCTATATAAAATGGCTATAGTCTATAGTAGAGACTCTAGTCTTAATGGTAACTATAGTCTGACTAGTTTATAGACTATAGCCTATCTAAAATGTATATTTTAGTCGAATGAATATATAGACTATGACTTGAACAGATTATTGACTATAATCTGACTTTGAGACTATTGCTTAGCTATTACTTAGAGAATATACATTTGAGTATACTTTCGATTTCTACTATTATTATCACACACTTCTTCAACTATAATGTAATCAATTTTTGTTCTTAACACAATTTGGTTAAAACCTAAAATTAACTACTTATTATTATGTAATAATATTATTTTGAATATTTATATAAGCTATTAGTGCAACGAACCCAGACATTTGACAACACATGAGGCATAACACTATACCATTATACATACAAACACAACGAATCCAAAAAAAGAAAAAAATGTGTTAAAACTTTCGCTTTCAGTTGAGTACTTCTTCCAAAAATATGTAGTTACCGGTGCCACATCATTCTTAAAGAAAGTTTTTTGTTTTAAACACATATGTATTCTGTTTAATATGTGATAATTATGTAAATATGTTTTTAAATTGTTATTTATGATGTTTGTGTTAAAAAAAATGTTAAGTATTTTACACCTGTTTACAAGTTTATACTTTTATGATTTTTGATCAGTCAGATGTAAAATGTATATGTTTATGTATACATGGTTTTATACATAATGAACATGAAACACTTGTATATGTTAACTTGGGAGAAGTAAAACTTTGAAATGATGAAAGTTATTAAGTTTTATATCCTAAAGTTAGTTACCAAAGAGCAGAGACTATATTCTGATAAAGTTACATTATAAACTTTCAATCGAATTATCAATAATTTTAAAATTTTGTTAAAATTAATTTTAATTTCAAAATATTTCTTTATATTTAACTCTATGACAGCTGTATAGTTTAATTTAAAACTTTAATTTGTTCGATGAGCAGACATGAACCAAAGAAAATTTTAAGTGAAAGGCGTTTCCCATTTAAATTGGCAGCAAAAAAACTGCAAGGTGCAAAAAAAAGCTACATACAAAAACGGTGAACTTTAATATATTTTATGATCATTTTTAATTAAAATTTTGATGGACTTGAGAGGAAAACTCAAAACAAACTATAAACAGTTAACTTTTTTAAGGAAAATAAAATTTTTTTATTATTTATCATAAAGTTTTAAGAAGTTCATTGACTTTTAAGTGATTGTCCGCTTACTAACTATATATGTGCGATTTTCTCAAATAAAATATTTTTAAATTTTTATTTAAATTGTTTTGACTTTGATTTATGTGATTTTAATAGTTTAACTTCAAGAAATAAGAAGAATGTCATTGAAATGCATACAATTACCATTGTTTCCCCTTTGATATGGAAAAAAATAGAAAACTTGATTATACTGACATTTTTTTTTGAAACTTTTACCTTTTTATAATTTAGACGAAAAGAGTTAGATATCCAAAAAATTTGCATAATTTAGGTACAAAAGAAAATATGTATGTAGTTTGAATGAAGGTTAGATTGTCTGGGAAAATCTTCCATTTTAATGATAATGTCTCTAAGAGAAAATTGTTCTGTAACAGAGTAACAATCTCCAGTGAAAATTATTCTGTAACAAAGTGAATTTTTTAACAGAATATTACTCTGTTATAGAATTTTAGTCAGACTATAGTCTTTAAACTTGTATACTTGACCATTCTTTCTGATATATTTATGTGCAATATTTTTACTATACCATCTACTAGAGTCATACTATTGTTTTCATTACAATTAGCTATTATAAGCTCTACAATACAGTCCTCAATATATTCAAACTATAGTATTTACTGCAGTCAGACTATATTCTGTTCTATGGGCAGACAATAGTCCACTTTAGAATATACTATAGGCAGACTAAAGTCTCTACAGTAGTCAGACTATAGCCCCTATACTATAGTCTCTACTATAAACAGACTATGTAGTAGACATATTATAGTCTCTAATATAGCCAGACTATAGTCTCTACTATAGCCAGACTATATTCTCTACTATAGCCAGACTATAGTTTTTACTATAGCCAGACTATAGTATCTACTATAGCCAGATTATATTCTCTACTGTAGTCAGACTATAGTCTCTACTATAGTCTTATTATAGTCTCTACTATAGTCAGACTATAGCATCTACTATAGATAGACTATAGTCTCTACCGACTATAGTCTCCAATACAGTCAGACAATAGTCTCTACTGTAGTCAGACTATAGTCTCTACTACAGTCAGACAATAGTCTCTACTGTAGTCAGACTATAGTCTCTACTATAGTCAGACTATTGTCTCTATAATAGTCAGACTATATCCTCTAAAATAGCCAGACTATAGTCTCTTCTATAGCCAGACTATAGTCTCTACTATAGTCAGACTATTGTCTCTATTATAGTCAGACTATATCCTCTACAATAGCTAGACTATAGTCTCTACTATAGTCACAACTATAGCCAGACTGTAGTCTCTGCTAGTCAGACTGTTATCTCTATTATAG